GGGGGGGGGGCTGTCCCAGGTCCCCAGGGATTGCAGGAACCTGCATGCCATACCCCAGGCAGGGGCTGGCAGACCCTAGTTCCAGTGAGGCGAAGGGGCCTGCCCAGGTGGCCAGAGAGCAGGGGCTGCCTCTGGGGCGACCTGGTCAGGAAGCCAGAGAAGGAAGGGGAGCCCCAGGTTTATAAAGTGCAGCCGAGCGGACAGCGCCGCAGGTCCGGGCGCCGTGGGCACGCGGGGCTCTGGGGCGGGCGCGTGGCTTGCAGGAACTCATGTCAGCTGGAGAAGGGCCAGACCACACCGGCCAGCTCTGCTGGGCCAAGAGGGAGCCCACGCGGGACACCGGTGCCCAGGGCGTGGGCTGGGCAAGGCGCGGGGTTCCCGACACGCCCGTGGAAGTTGAAGAGGTGAAGAGAGAGAGGAGGTGACACTCGAGACGGCAGGAGAGTGGGCACCAGAGGGGGCCGTGAGGGGAGCCGGGCCAGGTCCCGGGGCTCTACCTGAGTCAGGATGGGGGCCTCAGGGCAAGTCTGGGGGACTCCCCAGGGGCGCGGTGTGGGCAGAGGGGTGGGGGAACGGGGTGGTGTGTCCGAGGGGCTGGCAGCCTCCCCCCGGACCCTCCTGTACCCTTGGGGGACCCTGGACACGTGGGAGTCCCCGACTCCCACCCCTTGACCCCACGATCCAGGACCACAGGGAGGGTCGGGCGGCACCAAGGATGGGACCATGTGGGCACTTAGTCCCCGTACCCAGGGTGGTAGGTGGCTGAGGCCCCCCACCCTGCCGGCGCCTCCAAGAGCCCAGGGGGCTGAGCCCTTCCCACTGGCCCAGGGCTGACCACAGGGCAGGCCCAGGGGCCGGTCTGTGACTCACCCACACCCCCTCCTCCCCTCCCCCTACCCCCTGGCAGAGGAAAACAAATGTTTCCAATGCACCTCTTGGGGACGGGGGCCTTTTTAACCAAGGTGAAATTCTCATAATAAATTTACCCGTTTTAAAGTGGCATTTAATACACCCTCAATGTCATGCAACTGCCACCTCTATCTCCTTCCAGAACTTTCATCACCCCAGCTGGAAGCCCGTACCCATTACGCACACAGCCCACCCTGGCCCACCGCAGACCCCTCCCCCATCTCAGGCCCGGGCAGCAGCTGCCTGGCCTTCTGGCGCGGGCAGGTGAGGGCACCTGGCGCAGGCAGGCTCCTGGGAGCCAGCTGCCTTGAGCAAACAGCCGGGGGAGGGATAGAGTGTCAAAGGGGGAGGGCACAGCCCTCCACTCCTCCCTTCCGCCGGGCACCTCCCTGCAGCCAGACGCTCGGGTGGGCCGCTGGGAGTTGAGTGCCGGCCGCCTGCCCCAGGCCTGGCCCGGCCTCCGGAAGGCATCCTGGTCCCACCCGCGCTGGGGCCGCCCGCGGGGGCCATGTGGCCACACAAATGACCAGCCAGGCTTCCCTGGAGGCCGGGCCTCCCAGGACTGGCCCAGGAGCTTCCTGCCTGAGAGGTAGGTGCCGGACCCTATGACCAGGTCTGGAGGGAGGGGGGAGGCGCCTGGCACCCTGGTGGGTTGCGAGCAGCTGAGGAACAGGGCGCCCAGGGCTAGCAAGCAGGCTTGGGGCGGCCGGGAGCCCTGGCCAAGCTGGGCGCCAGACGGTCAGGCAGGCCCGGTGAGTGCAGGGCGCCTCCCCACCCCGTCTGCTGCTGCGGGCTGTGCCAGTCTGGCCTGCTTCCCGGACTCCACCCCTGGTAGGCAGGGCACCAGGGGCTCCCCGACTTTCTCAGATGTCTTTGGCCCCTGAAAAGCAGGCTCCCCGCAAGCCTGGGACACCAGAGGCGGGGACCGATTGCCCCAGGACACAGTCAGGCAGCTGGTGTCTGCACCCAGGTGGCTGACCCCAGGGAAGAGGGCGCCCAGGCCCGGGCCTTGGACCTGGGTCTCTGCACACAGAGGGCTGCCCAGAGCCCAGGCAAGCGGGCAGGAGGGTCGAACCGGAACTCCCACGGGAGGGATGGTGGCCGAAGCCCAGCATACCCCACTCAGCACAGCCTCCCCGTCCCTGCCCACTCTCTCCCCCTCACAGGCACTGGGGCTGCTTCCAGCGTCTGCGTGCACCTTTGCCCTCCCTCCTCCCCCGTCTGTGTCCTCCCTCGCCTCTGCAGATGACTAATGCCTCGGGGCTCCTGGGAGACCCCCTGATGTGGGCAACCGGGCCGCAGTCCAGCCCCCCGCTGGCCGTACCCACCGGGCTGCAGGTGGACCGCGTGGGGAACAGCTCCCAGGGCGCCTCCCAGCTCTTCCTCACCACGGCGCTGGCCCGCGGCATCTCGGGAGTCTTCGTGTGGACCGCCCTGGTGCTCACCGGCCACCAGGTGAGCCCTCCCCTGCACGCTCCCTTGGGAACCACTCTCCAGTGAGCCACAGCTCAGCCTGGCCCTGGCCGGCCCTACGGGGGCTGTGGGTCCACGAGCGCGATGGCCTGGGTGCAGACCTCGGAGGCCTTCGGGCCAGAGGAGCAGCGCCCAGGGACTCGCGGAGGCAGCATCGCGCCAGGGGAGGGGGCAGGGGAGGGAGAGATCTGGGCCCGAAGGTGGGCGGCCTCTTCCAGGCAGAGGGAAGAGCTCCAGCCAGGCGCCAGGCCCTTCCCCTGGGGCATTTCGTCGGCCCCTCAGCCTGTTCACTGAGGTCAGCAGTACTGTCCCCTTTCACGGATGAGAAGACTGAGGCTGGGAGAGGCCGGGGTCTTTCCTAGGCTCACGTAGCCGGGAGCAGAAAGGTCCTTCCCCTCCAGAGGTGCAGCATCCCCGGGAAAGCTGGTGAGGCTGGGACGTGGCTCTGTAAGCAGTGAGACCAGGCTCCGGGAGTGGAAGCAGGGTCAGAGCTTGGCTGGAGGGGCCCAGAGCTGGGGAGACAGGCAGCCCCCTGATGCAGCGGCGCCAGGCCTGGCAGCAAGAGCCAGGGAGCGGGTGACAGGAGGTGGTGCCCGAGTGCAGGGCTGCGCAGTGGGGTCCCAAGCATCTCAGGCAGCAGAGGGTCTCGGGAGTCCAGGACTGCGCCAGAGAGACACAAGCAGAGCTGGGAGGGAGAGGGCTGCCTGGGCTGGAGGCACCTGGGACCCGCAGGAGGGGCCTCCAACATCATGTGGGAGTTTGGCTTTCAGCCCGGGGGTGCTGGGGAGCCAGGGGAGGCTGTCGTTGGGGGGGAGCTGAGAGCAGAGCTGCTGGCATGACTTGGCTGGCATTGTCGTAGGGACTGGGTTGGAGGGGTGAGCCATGGACAGGGGGCAGTCAGGGGGGAGACTGGCTGGCAGGGAAGCAGGTGGCCAGAGGCCTCCAAGGCAGGGCGGTACCCTCTCAGTGAGAGCTGCCTGCTGTGTGGTGCGTGTCCAGGTGTGGCCTCAAATAACCAGAATGTAAGGGGGACACGGCAAATGTATTAGTGGGCCAGGTGCAGCTGAGAGCGGCTGGAAGAGGAGGTCCCTTCCTGTTGGGGCCATCCGGGAGGCCTTCCTGGAGGAGGCAGCATTTGCCCTGAGTCTTACCAAGCTGCCCTGGAGCATCTGGACAGGTAGACCGGACGGGGGAGGGGGCGTGCATTTGCCTCTGCAGGGAAGCCATGCCTTCCTCCCTGGTGGCAGAATGGCTTTAGGTCTGGTGTCGGCTGTGATTTGTGGGACAAGGAGCAGTAAGGGGGACGGGCACCCAACGCCCTGGGTCCGGGCCAGTTCCAGCCACAGTCTGGGCCTTGGCTTGGTCCTCTGTCTCCTGCCCTGACCTTTTGTAATTCTGGGTGCCAGCTGGGCACGTGTGTTTGGAGCCCAGCGTCCTGGGGCCCCACGGCCTGGACAGTGCTGATGGAGACCCCGTGGGTGGCACTTCCCAGGCCCCACCCTCCTCCCTGCCCCCACCCGCACTCCCATGGAGTCACACCCTCCCCACCCACTCAGAGCTCAATGGGACAGAGACTGGACCCTCACTTTAAAGACGGGAAACCAAGGACAGAGAGAACAGCGGCTTGCCAAGGCCCTCAGCCAGGCAGTGCCAGCCCAGGAGCAGAAGTCCATCTCCTGATAGCTGGTCAGGCCGTGCCCTCCTGCCGCACCAGCTGGGGAGGGAGTGGCTGATAAGGAGGCTGACTCTGACGCCAGGCTGCCCCCGCCACTCCCCGTGCTGGGCCCTAAGAAGCCGGGTCTCTGCACACAGCCTGCCCTCTGCCTGCCCTCTCTCCACCTCCTCTCATGGCACCTCTTCCGGGAAGCCTCCCAGAGTTGCTTGGGACTACAGCCAGCTACCCGTTTGGCTGGCTCCCTGGGAACTCTTCCTTCCAAAGACCCTGTCACTGTTTTTTTTTTGTCCTCGTAGAAAATGTGGACCATCTAGGATGGTATACAGATGAACACGAGAACCACCCATCTTTTCCTTCTGTCCAGGGATGTCTTTCCCTTCACTTTTACCCCGCTTTTTCACACACCTGGGTCCTGCTCGGTTTGTCATCCTGACGTGACCGGTTGCGCTCTGTCGGAGCGTCTCCCCACGCTGGCGACTCGGGGCTGCGCGCAGCTGCATCTCGGTCACGGGCCCCACCGCCGTGCTCAGCCTCGTGTGCGTCCCTACCATGAACGTCCTTGAACGCAAATCCTACTTTTGTTTCTGAGTAAATCTGTTCTGTGGGATAAAGCCCTAGAAAGGGTCAAAGCGTATCAGCCCTTTTAATGCCTCCGTGTCAAAATGCCAAACTGCTCTCCAGACCAGTCATGCCCACGAGGGGGCCATGACTGCCGCCCATCCCCTGCCCCTGGGGAAATTCTCGTCGAGTGAATGAATGAATGAATGAATGGGCACGTGAGTGAATGCATGTTCCCAGTGCAGAGTGTCCGCTGAGGGCAGGGCCCAGGGAGGTCCGCTTTGCTTCCTCCCGCTTGGGTGGCGGGTGGGCCGTGTCCCCAGGCCTGCCTTACTCCGCCCGCCCAGATCTACCTGCACCTGCGCTCCTACACCGTCCCCAACGAGCAGCGTTACATCATCCGCCTGCTTTTCATCGTCCCCATCTACGCCTTTGACTCCTGGCTCAGCCTCCTCCTCCTGGGGGGCCACCAGCGCTATGTCTATTTTGATTCTGTGCGGGATTGCTACGAAGGTGAGCACAGCTAGCTCCCAGGGCCCAGAGCGGCCCCTGCGCTCCCCCCGCCTGCCCCGGGGCACCCCACCCTCCAGGCCTGAGTCTGGCTTAGCGAGGCCCCTGCAGGACAGTCAGGATTAGCGGTGCCAATGATACAAGACTCCCACGCTCCCAGGCTGGGGGCGAGACTGCAGCTGGGCCTGCCCCAGAGCCTGGGGGAGGAATGGAACGGGCCCTAGATGGGGCGGGGGGCGTCAGAGCTGCCGTGACTGCTGCAGGCCCCACCCCCACCGGGGATGGCATGTGGTCCCAGAACCCAGCCGGGAGCCCCCGTGAGGAGTGGGTCCCGCTGCGTGAGCTGAACCCCAGTTGTCTTCTGGGAAATGGGCGCCAAGGAGCTCTGAGCGGTCAGGGAGCCTTCGTGCAGGCCGGGTGCCCTCGTGGACTGCCCAGGCTCACTGCCGACACCCCTGTTCTGCAGCCTTTGTCATTTACAGCTTCCTGAGCCTCTGTTTCCAGTACCTGGGGGGTGAGAGCGCCATCATGGCTGAGATTCGGGGAAAACCCATCCGGTGAGCGTCCCCGCAGAGCCCACCGGGCACCCCTGCGCCCAGGGTGGGCAGCCAGGCCGGTCTGGGGGTGTGTCCTCCAGGAACACACCTCAGGGACTCCCTCACCGCAGGCCCAGCTGCTTCTATGGCACCTGCTGCCTTCGGGGCATGTCCTACTCCATCGGGTTTCTGCGTCTCTGCAAGCAGGTAAGTGCCCGGCCCTTCCCAGCCTCCCCCTGACCGCCCCTGCCACCCATCGTGCTGGGGGTCCCTCGGCCCCTCCCCCGCCCCTCACTCCCCTCCCCCACCCCCAGGCCACACTGCAGTTCTGCATCGTGAAGCCCTTCGTGGCCTTGGTCACCATCATCCTGCAGGCGTTCGGCAAATACCACGACGGGGACCTCAAGTGAGGCCAGGCTGGCGTGCGGGCAGGGAGGGGTGGGCGGGCCCGGCCTGGGGGGCACAGGGGAGGTAGGCAGGGCTCAGCAGAGGGCTCAGCAGGGGCCAAATCCCCTCCCCCTCCTCCTCCTGGGAAAGGGCCGGGGGCAAGGCCATGGCAAACAGACCTGTGTCACACACGTGCCCTGGGGACTCCGGGGCTTCGCGGCCCAGGCAGCGATGGGCTCCTTCCCCGGCGCTACCCCACAGCAGGGCCATTGGAGAGCGAGCGTGGATTTAAGGGCGCTCGGGCCCAGAGAGCCAAGCTCTGCGCTGGCCCGCGCCCCTGCCCTGGGTCCACACGAACTCCTCACGCGCACGCGCACGCATGCTCAGGTGTGCACACGCGCGCTCACCCTCACACACATGCACGTGTGCAGACACACGTGCTCTCACATGGGAACACACAGTGAGCATTGTGCACACGCTCATACCATTGACATGCACGCGAAGCACCCACGCACGACTGTGGGTCCACGACGTACGGGGCTGTTCCCGTGCCTGGGAGGGTAGACAGGGGAGGGGCAGCAGGGCTCCTGCCCGGAAGTGGGCAGGATCTGGAGACGACCCCCTGCAACCAGCTCCTCCGCCGCTCCCACCTGCAGGCCCTGGAGGGAGGGTCCGGGTCTGAGCCACTGCCGGTGCCCGGGCTCGGGGTCCAGGCCAATGGCACAGCTGGCAGGGTGAGGAGGGCATGGGGGCGCAGGCCCACCCTCACCACCGGCCCCGGCTCTGGCCCCCAGCATCCACAGCGGTTACCTCTACGTCACCCTCATCTACAACGCCTCCGTGAGCCTGGCCCTCTACGCCCTGTTCCTTTTCTACATCGCCACCAGGGAGCTCCTGCGGCCCTTTGAGCCTGTCCTCAAGTTCCTCACCATCAAGGCCGTCATCTTCCTCTCTTTCTGGCAGGGTGGGTGGGGCTCCTGAGGCAGGGGCTGGAGCCCAGAGAGATGCCCCAGCTGTAGCCGGGTCAGCAGGCGGCCCTCTCAGCGGGAGGCCATCAAGCCCCTGGCATGGGGGAGATGGTGGGCTCCCCACCCGGCAGGTCTGGCCCGATGTGTGGGGGAGAGGCCACGCGGGGGAGCGGCGGAGCCCTGTCCTCAGCGGGCCCTGGGCCAGGCTCTGGGGGCACCGCCATACCCCACTTCTCAGGGGACGGTGAGGGGTGGGGCCAGGGAGAGGTCAGGAGAGGCGCTCGGGGAGTTCTTGACCGTCCGCTGTGCCAAGGCCCCGGCTTTGGATGCTCCCAGCCCCTCTGGACCTCAGACCCTGCAGACCCCCGCCAAGCCCCTGAGGCCGGCCTCAGGGGGACTCTTGGCTGGGGTTGGCTGCAGTCCAGTCTCCCGTCAGGCGCAGGCACCTGAGTGGCCATCACCTTCCCCCAGGGATGCTGCTGGCCATCCTGGAGAGGTGTGGGGTCATCCCTGAGGCCCAGGTCGTCGACGGGAGCAGCGTGCGGGCTGGCACGGTGGCTGCCGGCTACCAGAACTTCATAATCTGCATCGAGATGCTCTTTGCCTCCGTCGCCCTGCGCTACGCCTTCACCTGCCAGGTGTACTCGGAGAAGAAAGGGCACTCGCCAGGTATCCGGGGCCCCGCCAGCCCCGGGCCCCCCAGCGCCATGTCTCTGTCCCCCGTCTTGCCCACGGGCCCTGGGAACGTCGACTTGATGGACAGGGAGATGGCCCCACGGAGGACCCAAGCTCCAGACACGTGCCTCACCTGCACGTGGTCCAGGGGAAGAGCCCAGGCAGGCCGGCGGGCGGGCGGGGGCTGAACTCTGAGTGAGATGGGCTGGACCTGATGTTTGGGCCCCCCAGGGTCCCTCGGTGATAGGGGGCTGGCGCAGCGCCTGAGCCTGGGGGCCCCGGCAACCATAGCCAGGTGCCTGGACCAGCCTGACCGGAGAGGCCAAGGGCTGGCTGGTACTGGTGTCCCTAAAGAATGGCCCGTTTGGGTAGGGGTGGCCTGAGCCTGGACCGGTCAGCCTGGAGTGGCCGAGGGTGTGAAGCGTTCACACCAGGGCGGAGAGAGGATGGGGGCCAGCTCACGGCGGTCTCTCTCTGCCACCTCTGGCAGGGGGTCTGGGCTGGGACAGCCCCAAAGTTGGGCTGGGATTCTGGGGTCCTAGGAGTCACCCTCTGCTGGCCGAAGCCAGGGTCTGGAGATGCAGGAGCCCCGGCCCTGGGCAGCCCCGAGGCTGGTGGGGAACAGGGTCAGGTCCTGGGGTCCGGGTGCACGGGGGGAGATGATGGGGCACAGGGAGCACCCCAGCCCACCCGCTGCCTGTTGCCAGCCCCCACGGCGCCCATGCAGAGCATCTCCAGCGGCCTCAAGGAGACCGTGAGCCCGCAGGACATCGTGCAGGACGCCATCCACAACTTCTCGCCCGCCTACCAGCAGTACACGCAGCAGGCCACACACGAGGCCCCGGGACCCGGCCAGGGCAGGGGCCCCTTGCCCAGCACCCACCCTGGCATGGATGGTGGCTCCGGCGGGGGCAGGAAGAGCCACAACATGGAGAAGAGGGTGCTGATTCCCGCGGAGGAGCTGTAGGGGCCCCGGGGCCGGCGGCCCAGGCCGCTGGGGGAGGACAGGGCCCCTCACCCACCGACCGTCGCGCCAAAGGTCTCTCCTGGGAGCCTCCTGCGAGGCCCGTGGAGCCCACTGCCCATCCCACCTCTGGCCAGTGGAGCAGGTCGCTTGGTAGCCCTGCCAGGCGCCCCGGGGCCGCACCACCGCCTGGTGGGCCCTCGGCCTCAGAAGAGGGCACCTGAGCCTACCTGACAAGCCCAGGGACCTGCCGGGCTCACCTGGCCATCGGCTCAGGTGGCCTCCCTGGATGGACAGCTCCCGGGTGGGGCTGGGCAGCCCGGAGCTGCAGGCCTTACAGGCAGGAGGGCTCCACACTGAGGGCAGGAGGCGGGGTGGCCCCGTGGAGGAAGGGCCGGTGTGGCTGCTGGGAGTCTGGGAGGGGCTGGGGCCACCGGTGGAGGGCTCCGGCTTCCTGGTGAACTGCACTTATTTATGCATAAACAGCCTGGGTTTTCTAGTGACTCTAGTGGCCTGTGTTCCTGCAGGGTCAGTGCTCTAATGAATGGACCACAGTGAGGCGGACAGATAAGACCCATCGTGCGAAGTCTGGGTGCGGCGGGGAGGGTCCCCGTCCACTCTGGGGCCGCGGGCCACAGTAGCAGCTCAGAGCAGGCAGGCAACGAGCTCGGACTAGAGCCAGGATGGCCTGCCCCGCCGTGCGCACGGCTGCGCAGTCCGGAGCCTTGGCTTCCCCAGTTCAAGGCCCCGTGCCAGCCCCGTCCGAGGAGGGGGCTAGTGCCCGGGAGCCTGGGGCCCAGGAGGCGGAACAGGACAGGGGGAGTGAGGGTGGGCCCTGGACGTCGGGGGGAGGGGGCGGCAGCGGGTTGTGAGCCTTGGCCCATCCAGTGTGTCTGGGGCGCTCAGTAGGGTGAGGCGGGAGCCGGGGAAAGGTGCCGGGTGGTGCGCCCGCGGGCAGGCGTGCGGAGCTGGCAGCGCTGCAGCAGGAAGCCCTGGGCACCACCCAGCCACGACCTCCCACGCCTCCCGGCCGCCGGCTCCCACGTCACCCAGGGAGAGAGGGAAAGGCACCGAGGGTCTCAGAGAGACTGAGCAGGGCAGGAACCAGCCTACGGTTTCCAGGGCAGAGTGGGGTCACCCCTGTCCCCCTGTTCCCTGGGCCTGGGGCACGGGACTCAAGGCCAGCGGCCTCTCCCAGGGCCCAGCCCGGCTGCCTGATAAGATAGGCCAGCGTCCTCCCTGCCGCCAGCTGGGAGGCCCCCCCATCTGCCTTACTGCACCCTCTGCGGCTGGCAGGCCCAGCTCGGGCCCCCACGTCTGTCAGCTGGTTTGCGGGTGGCCACGGGGCCCCCAGAGACCCACTGACCCAGGAGGGAGGTTTTCTAGAGGCTGCAGGGCAGAGGCCCTGCGGTGAGCCAGGGGAGGCCGTGCTGCCCCAGGGCCCTCGTCTGGAGGGGCCCTGCTTTGGGGCCTGAGTTGCCCAAGGCTGTGTACCCAGAGGGCACGTGGGCCAGGGCCGCCTTCTGGAGACCCCGACACAGCGTGCGGTCCTGGGGTGCTCTCAGGCGGGCCTGGCGCTCTGGGAGCACCCGCCGTGTGCCAAGGACAGGGCCAGCAATGTCACACACACGCAATCCTCACGACGGCCCCGGGCGGGTGGCCGAGGCCCAGGGAGGTTGAGCCACTTGCCTGAGGTCATGGAGCTGGCGAGAGGGGCCGCTTGCCCACCGGTCCCAGCCCCACAGGCCCCTCTGCCCGTGGCCAGGCTCTTCTGACATAACAAAGTCCAGCAGTGAGGACGACACACCTGCAGGTGGGACAGAGCCTCAGAGCAGGTCAGAGGGGCTGCCGGCCTCACGGGCCTGGCCCTGCTGACGGGGAAGCGTGGGTGCTCCGAGGAGGGGACCGTGGGCCACCTCTCCATCTCTGACGAAAACCCGGTTCCCGATTCCAGGCTGCACTGCGTGGGGCCAGGGGTGGCCACGGAGGCCGGTTGTCTCACCCACATGCTCTGGCCTCGGTGTTCTCACCTGTGAAATGGCCCCAGAGGTCCACGCCGCAGGGTGGCGGCCCCCAGAGCAGCTGGGCGGCCTGGAGGCGGGAACCCTTTAACCACCTCCCTGGAGCCCAGCGCCAGGCGGGGTCTGTGGCTCCCCAGCCTGCGCCCAGCGGCTGCCGCCGGCCGTCTCAGGGACACGCCCAGGGCGCTCCCGGGAGCGGCGGGCCGGGCGCGCGCTCTCCTGCATGGGGCTGCTGCGGGGCCGGCTCAGCCGGGGCAGACGGCGACCGCACCGTGCCGAGCGCGTCCATCCCCGCGCCTGACTCCGCAGGAGGGAGCTCGGGAGCTGGGGGGGAGGAGCCGGCATGGGCCACACGGAAGCTGGGGGTGGGGCTCACGCCCAGCGGCTGGCGCTGAAGCAATCCCTTGGTTACAAGGTGCCACCCTGGTCAGCCGGCAGAGGTGGGGCGGGAGGGCTGCCCGTGTTCAGAGACCCCAACGAGCGGCAGATCTCCTTGCAAGCTTGACCCTCCTTCAGAGGCCAAGGCCAAGTGCTGACCCTCCTAGGTTAGGGGGGTAAGGAGGGGGCAGCATCCCGAGGACAGGGCGCCCACTCCCCCACCAGCAGGCCCAGGTTGGCTGGGCCCCCGGCTCTGGCTTTCAGGGGAGTCTGCTTACTGGCTTTGTCCCCGGCCCCAGGCAGACCCCATCTCTCCCACTCACTGCGAGCTCACCTTAGAGCCCCCGCCAAGAGACCCGCCCTGGGAAGGGGGGCCGCGTCCAGCGGCAGGGGCTCCTCGTTAGGGCAGTAGGGGCCTCGGGAACTCCACCCACCACCTAGGAAGGGAGCCCACCTGCCTCCACCTGCCTGAGCGCTCCGCGCGCAGCCCTGGAGACCCACTCACAAGCAGCAACCGGCGGCGACCCCGCCGCCGGGGGGGCTACAGCCGCGGGGGCTGGGATGGGGGGGCAGCACAGGCAGCGGCCCACAGCGCCCCCAGGCCAGGGAAGGAGGGAGGGTTGGCCCAAAGCACCAACCGTGCAGCAAGACAACGTGAAACCAGAAAACTCTTTATTGAAAGGTACAAAAGCGTCATGGCAGAGATGTACAGCAATAAATTAGGTGTGGCCGGGAGGGGACGGGCAGGCGCGGGCCGCGCGTCACACCACAGGGGCCACGACATAGGGTCTCTTCTCAATAATTTATATCATGATAAAAGCAGCACAAAAATAAATATTGAAATGAAACTGCTGAGTGGCCAGAGGTACGGGAAACGGGAGCGGGGTCTAGGCAGGGCCCTGTCACCCGGGGCGAGCGAGCCGGAAGCACGGGGGACGGGAAACCAGCCCCCCCAGCCAGGGGGCTGTGCCTGTTTTCTTAAATTAAAACATCCATATATTAAAACTGTGACAATGAAATTTCAACGCTCTGAGAGGAGAGGGAGGGATCACGCTGGTCTCCCAGGCCTGGTCCCGGGGAGTGGAGGCTGTGGGATCGGGTGCTTGGAGAGCCCGGGCCGCCCGCCCTCCCCGGGGGGCACCCGGCTGGGGCACGGCCCAAGGGCCGCTGAGAGCGGCCGACTTGAGAAGCCAGGCGCGGGCGGTGGTCCCGCTCCCACCCACACTCCCAGGCAGCTCTGCCCTAGAGAGGCTTACAGTATCAAATAGGAAGAAAAGGTATGAAAATCTGTACGATAAAATGTGTATACAATTTTATATATATATATACTTTTCTCTCTTTTAAATATCCCCGTGGTCCTTACTGATATCCAATGTGGATTACCTACCATGGCTATGGTATCAACAGCTTCTTTACACACCGGCCGTGGCTCCGGAAGGACCCAGACGCCCCAGACCCCGCGCCCTCTCCCAGGACAGGGGGACACTTTCTGGCTGTAGCCCTTGGGGCCCTCTCCCCTCCCCCCACTCCTCCCGGGACGGCTGGCACCCTGTGCGGGGGCTTTGCAGCTTGCTGGGGGGCTTACTAAATGGTGGGAGGCAAGCCAAGAGGAAACCACGAGCTGGAGCCCAGGGCTTCTGGCCTGTGGTGGGCTCGGGGCTCGCCGCCCACCCCTCGGCCCCGGCATCTTCCCAGGTGGGGCAGGAAGGGGCGGCCCCTGCCTAGCCACGCGGGAAGCCCCGCAGCGGCTCTCTGGGAAAGGACACCCCAGCAAAGGGCCCCCCAGTCATCAGTGGCTCCGAGTGCCAGAAAGGAAGAG